GCTAGTATCGCTTATAAGCAAATACACAACAAAATCAATCAAAATTTAACAAATTGAACCCAACAATATGTAAAAAAGATAATATATAATCAGGTTTATTCCAGGAATGCAAGGTTAAGATTTGAAAACAATGTAATTTACCACATTAATAAAACAAAAGAGAAAAATCATGTATCAACTCATTAAATGTAATATTTGATAAAATTCAGCATTCATTTACGATTTTTAAAACTCATTGGAAAAGTAGTAATACAAGAAAATCTCAACTCAATAAAGGTTATTTATAGCTAACAACATACTTAATAGTAAAACACTGAATACTTTCCCACTGAAATTGGAAACAAAAAAGGATGTCTACTCTTATGACCTCTACTCCACATTATATAAAAGGTCCTAGCCCAGTGCATTAATGAAATAAAACGAAATAAAAGATACAAGTATTGGATAGAAAGATGTAAAACTGTCATTATTTGCAGATGACATGATTGAACATGGACAATCCAAAAGAACCTACCAAAAACTGTTAGACAAGTTGGGTCACTGGATAGGTCAACATACTAAAATCAATTTTATTTCTCTGTACTGGTAACAAATTATTTAAAAATAGAGGTTTTTTTGTGTTTGCTTTTTGAGACAGAGTCTCACTCTGTCGCCCAGGCTGGAGTCCAGTGGCGCGATCTCGGCTCACTGCAACCTCCACCTTCCCAGTTCAAGTGATTCTCGTGCCTCAGTGTCCCAAGTAGCTGGGATTACATGCATCAGCCACCACACCTGGCTAATTTTTGTAATTTTAGTAGAGACGAGGTTTTGCCATATCGGCCAGGCTGATCTCAAACTCCTGACCTCAAGTGATCCACCCACCTTGGCCTCCCAAAGTGCTGTGATTGATTACAAGTAAAAGCCACCACACACTTAGCCAGAAAACAGGTTTTTAAAATGCTACTTAACCATCAATAAAAAGAGGTAAAATTTAATTAAATACATGCAAAATTTCTCTAAAAAGTTCAAAACATTGCTGAGAGAAATTAAAGGCCTAAAACTATGGAAAGCAATGCTCTGTACATGAATTGAAAAACTCAAAACTATGTCAACTCAATATGTTAATTCATCCAAAATTGATCTATAGATTCAATGTAATCTCAGCAAAAACACTAACAGCTTTCCTTTTTAGAAATTAATTATAAAAGTTACAAGTTGAAATTAAAATGTATATGATAGGCTGGGCATGGTGGCTCATGCCTGTAATCCCAGCACTTTGAGAGGCCAAGGCGGGTGGATCACCTGAGCTCAGGAGATTGACACCATCCTGGCCAACCTGGTGAAACCCCATCTCTACTAAAAATACAAAAATTAGCCAGGCGTGGTGGTGCACACCTGTAATCCCAGCTACTAGGGAGGCTGCAGCAGGAGAACTGCTCCACAGGGAGGTGGAGGTTGCAGTGAGCCGAGATCGCACTACTGCACTCTGGCCTGGGCTACAAAGCGAGACTCTGTCTCAAAAAAACAAATAAATAAAATAAAATATATGTGGAAATACAAAGGACCTAAAATAGTTACGAAAATCTTGAAGGAGAAAAGAACAAAGTTGTACTAATTACACTGAGATACCAAGTCTTATTATAAAAGCTACACTAACCATATGGAGTGACACAAGAATAGACAAACAGACCACTCAATAGAATAAAGAGTTCAGAATCAAATCCACACACATATGGCAACCTGATTTACAGTAAAGGCTTACTGTAATTGAGTAAGGAAAGAAGAGTTCAACAAATGGTATAGATCAACTATCAATGGAAATAAATTAATCTTTACCTCTATTACACATATGCAGAAAAACAAATTTGAGATGAATCATGGAATTTAATAAAGCTCCTAAAAGAAATATAAAAGAATATATATTGTTGGTTTAAGCACAGATTTCTTAAACAAGACAAGAAAAACCCTAACCACAAGGGAAAAGATTGATAAACTGGACTTCAGTTTTATTCATCAAGACACCTTTATGAGTAAAGATACAAGCCACAAACTGAAAGTAAATACTGCAAAACATCTATCCGGCAAAGGACTCATTTCCAAAATATATAAAGAATTCCTGGCCGGGCATGGTGGCTCACACCTGTAATCCCAGCACTTTGGGAGGCCGAGGCAGGCGGATCACAAGGTCAAAGGATCGAAAACATCCTGGCTAACATGGTGAAACCCCATTACTACTAAAAATACAAAAAATTAGCTGGGCATGGTAGTGGGTGCCTGTAGTCCCAGTTATTCGGGAGGCTGAGGCAGGAGAATGGCGTGAACCCGGGAGGTGGAGCTTGCAGTGAGCCTAGATCACGCCACTGCACTCCAGCCTGGGCAACAGAGTGAGACTCTGTCTCAAAAAAAAAAAGATTTCCTATACATCAATAAGACAGAACATTCAATCTTTACAAAAGGAAAAAAGACTTAGACTTCACAAAAAAAAAAAGATAGCTAAATGGCCAATAAGAATATAAAAACATCATTAGTCACGAGGAAAATAGAAGTTAAAATTACAATGAGATATCACTACACACCCACTGGAAAGGCTAACATGAAAATAACAAACATACCAAGTAGTAGCAAAAATGTGAAATACCTGGAATGCTCATAAGTTGTTGGTGAGACTGGAATTGATATAACCACTTTGGAAGACTATCTGGCAATATGAAATGAAAACACAGGCTAAACACAGGCCCTACCTTCTAGGTATATGCCTAAGAGATATTAATACTTATCTTAACAAGACAGATGTACTGGAATGTTCATGGAAGCTTTCTTCACCAGCCACAAATATTAAAAAACCAAGTGTCCATCAAAAGGAGAATGTGTAAGTAAATTGTGGAATCTCTATGCAATGGAATAGTACTGACAATACGAAAAACAAACTCTTCTAACAACAGGGGTTAATCTTAGAAAGGTTGAAAGAAAAAAGCCAAACCAAGTGATTCCAATTTTTTTGAGGTTCAAAACCAGGTAAAACTTATCTGTGTTGACAGAAGTCAGATTACCAGTCACCTCTTTTAGGAATGGGGAGTACGTCCCCCTACCCTAGATGGAGTCTCACTTTGTCGCCCAGGCTGGAGCCCAGTGGCGTGATCTTGGCTCACTGCAACCTTCCCCTCCCGGATTGAAGCAATTCTCCTGCCTCAGTCTCCCGAGTAGCTGGGATTACAGGCGCATGCCACCACGCCCAGCTAATTTTTTGTATTTTTAGTAGAGACATGGTTTCGCCATGTTGGCCAGGCTGGTCTCGAACTCCTGACCTCATGATCTGCCCACTTTGGCCTTCCAAAGTGCTGGGAATGCAGGCATGAGCCACTGCGCCCAGCCCGGAGTACTTACTAAAAGTAAAACAGGTGAACCTTTTGGGGTGCTGGAAACATTCTATTTTTTTATTGGACAGTAGTTGCACAGGTGTAAAACATTTTAAAATTGAGCTGTTGGCCGGGCGCGGTGGCTCACGCCTGTAATCCCAGCACTTTGGGAGGTTGAGGTAGGCGGATCATGAGGTCAGGAGATCGACACCATCCTGGCTAACACAGTGAAACCCCGTCTCTACTAAAAATACAAAAAATTAGCAGGGCGTGGTGGCGGGCGCCTATAGTCCCAGCTATACTCAGGAGGCTGAGGCAGGAGAATGGCGTGAACCCGGGAGATGGAGCTTGCAGTGAGCCGAGATGGCGCCACTGCACTCCAGTCTGTGCGACAGAGCGAGACTCTGTCTCAAAAAAAAAAAAAAACTCAGCTGTTATACTTGGGATTTGTGCTCATCAAAAAAAAAAAGAAAATGAAAATACTAAGCCACTCAACTAACCTTGGAAACAGGAAAAAGCAGCAGCCAGGAGTATTATTTCTTGGTGTTAAGTCTAGACTGACTTAATAAAAGAGTAATAAAAGACGCTGTGGACTATACCTAAAAATTATCAATAACTATCACTGTCAGATTAAGTCTTCCCTTATCTCCTAAAAATCATTTGGTCTCTGATTCTTCTGAGCTTGCACAGATCCTCAAGCCTAACAGAATTTCTTGGCATATGTTACTAATAAATGTAATAAGTGAATTAATGAATATGTGATCTTTGAAGTTAAGAGTTCTTTTGCATCAGACCAATCTCATGTTACAAGAAACTAAAACGATTAATAAAGAAGTTTCCAATTTTACTGCCATTCTCAATGTATCTACTCAACACTCTGAGGATGCTGTGGGAAATGTCATCTTTCCTCATGATCTGAACCTGCTTTGTTTTTTTTTTTAATCTTTTTTTCCTCAACCCCCACCAGCCAGCCACACTTCCTGATGGCCTTCAAACCCTTCCACTGCCCAAAAAGGAGAATGAGAATGTAATATTTTCCAGGCTTATACAGAATTTTGACAACATAAATTAGCACATTCATAATGCTTGAAAATTGACTAAATAGAACAATTCTGACATGAACAATGAAATCGTCTTTCTGTCAAGGCAACTTTAAGTAATCCCATTCTAATATACCGTCACCTGGGAACAAACTATTTTTAAAAATAATGCAGGTCGGGCGTAGTGGCTCACGCCTATAATCCCAGCACTTTTGGAGACCGAGGCAGGCGGATCACCTGAGGTCAGGAGTTCGAGACCAGCCTGGCCAACATGGTGAAACCCCGTCTCTACTAGAAATACAAAAATTAGCCAGGCGTGGTGGTGCGCACATGTAATCCCAGCTCTTAGGGAGGCTACGGCAGGAGAACTGCCTGAGCCCCAGAGGTGGAGGTTGCAGAGAGCCGAGATCACGCGGCTGCACTCCAGTCTGGGCGACAGAGCAAGACGCCATCTCAAAAAAAAAGAAAATAATGTAAAATAAGCCCCCCTTGTTTCAGGGTAGTTCAAAATACATCAGTAGAAAAGTTTCGTTTTTATAGCACAAAGGCAAGGCGTAGGATACAACAGATTACCGTCTAAACAAGTTGAAAACTGTTTCCAGTTCATGACAGCTACATAGCTTACCTGTTCCAGCACATCCAACTTTAACTCGAGCTTGCTAAGTACGACGTCTCCACCCCATAGCGAAAGCTGTAGATCCGACGGCTTTAAGTTCTTGATGTAGCGATTCACATAGCTCATTAAAATCGGAGTTACGTATGACTCCAGCATCTTTTAAGGTAAGGAGTCAAAGTCGGAAGCTGAAAGGAGTAGACAGAAACGTTGTAAGTCGGCCGTATAGTGAAGGAAAGAGCGTTAGTTATCTCAGGCCAAAAGCAGTAAGTCCCCACCAAGGCGGCCGTTCGCCTCCTCTTAGAAGCAGAGAAAACTCAAGAGGACTCCCAGCTCCAGCTGCAACTTCCTCACAAGTACAACACCCCTTGCCAAGCGAAGTAAGGGAGGAAGATGTAGTGACCAGAAGAGAGCGGGTCCCTCAGAGTGGAAGAATGAAGTGAGGCGGACTCCCCTTCGGCCGCAGTAGCCCTTCACCAACCCAGTCACTCCGCGAGGCCCTCGCTTTCCGGAACCCAGCCGGATCTGCCACCATAGAACGAAAGCTAGAAGGCCCCCCCTCCCGCTCCCGCTCCCGCCCCCCAGCACTCCACTCTCCGCTCACACGCCAGAGTATCGCCGCGTCCCCTCCACCTCCAGGTCCCTGGCACCCACCCCCGGCGGCAGCGCTGCTCCTGTACCGCGCCACTTCCGGGTGTGCCCTACTTGGTGTTCAAAACAAAGTGTCCCTCCACGGCCGCCACTCTACGCAGCCGAACCGGATTTCTCAGGCTGGAGAAGCTACTTTGCGCGTCTTCGTGGAGAAGAACTGTTGCGTTCGGCTAGCCAGGGTCCCAGCTGCGACCCTGCTAGTTAGTATAAGGATCTAGGAGGTGTCTGAGCGGGTGGAGGGAACCGTAAAGGGGAAACACCCGAGATCCGGAAGTAGTGCTCCGGGGAGAGGGTGGCTGCGGGTCCTGGGGCCGCTGCGCGGTCGGCGGTTCCCGAGGTGGAGGTCCGTCCTGGGTGGGGAGGCACGGAGGGTCGCTGGTTGCGGAGGAAGAAACCACACCTAGCACTTAAAGCCCTGAAAAAAACAGAGGTGGTTGTCTTTCTTGAGAAATGGGAGGACTGGGAAGAGGAACTAGGTTGGGTTCACTGGGGAGGGCAGAAGCAATAGGCCGCTGGTAGGAGGAGCGAAGTAAGTGACAGATTTCAACTGAGTTCCGAGGTTTATTTGCTGGAAGGAGGGTGGATGTGGGAAGATAAATGAAGGGATTAGGACGTACACTGTTGGAGGACGCGTTTTGGCCAAACGTATAGACAAGCTCTCGCATTGTTACTTTAACAAAGCAATGGTGAAGTACTCCCTAGTTTGCTGATGAGGGGCGGGGGAGGGATGGTCAAAATATTGCGGGGAACCATAGGATTGCAGTCTGACGTGAGATTTAGGGAAGCTGCGGCAATAACCAAAATGAAGACGGAATTGAGAGTTCTAGAGACAAAGTGAATATAACTGATAAGTAATGAATTCAGAGTTGTAAGGGTCGGTGTTGGTTTTATTAGGCTGTAATGAGTGTATAAAATATTGCCTTTCCGTATAATAGCTTGCAAGCTAACAAAGTCAAGAAACTCAAACATTAACTCGGAAAATATATACTGGGCTTAAAGGAATCGCATAGGACATGCTGCCCAAGTTTTGCCCAGCTTGTCTTATTTTTGGTTAGCGCTGAAAAAACCCCTACCACTGCATTTTGAAACTAGACTCCTGGTCAGGCGCGGTGATGCACACCTGTAATCCCAGCACTTTGGGAGGCCAAGGCCTCCAAATTGCTTGAGACCAGTCTGGCCAACATGGAAAAAACCCGTCTCTACAAAAATATTAGTAATACAAAAATAAGCTGAGCACGGTGCCTGTACTGTAGTCCCTGCTACTAAGGAGGCGGAGGTGGGAGGATCACTTGAGCCCCAGAGGTGGAAGCTGCAGTGAGCTGTGATCACACCACTGCACTCCAGCCTGGGCGACAGAGTGAGACTGTCGAAAAACAAAACAAAAAAAGAGAAACTAGACTTTTTTTAAAGTTACTAAATAACCACCCATGCCTAAAGCTCTTTCCTGGAATTCAAAATTACCATTTCTTGAAAGAGCTTCAGTAACTGCAACAGAAAAGAGGCCTGAGGATGCCAAGGTGTTTAGATTTATTTTGTTATTGAAAATAAGGAAATACGTTTCCCCAAAAGAGGCAGCAGCTAATTGCCAATTCCTTCACAAGAACGCTGTTCCTTCACAAGAACGCCTTAATAACTCAAATATTTGAGTATTATCAAAACTTGCCAAATTATACAAATGAATTAATTTCTTTTTTAGTTATCTGCTTCATCTGAAACACAGGTCAAAGCCATGACTTAGAGGTTTTAACATAAAGAAAATGGTTCCACTAATTGTATAGAACCTCTCAGCAGTCTACAACAGTAGCTCCACGTCTTGTCATTTTTCTAGAGAAAAAGGGCCTAGTTTTCTCTTATGGTGATCTATTAAATAAAAACACTATATTAAGATAAATTGGCCAAATATAGGAGTAGAAATGTGGCTAAGATATTTGAACAAATGACATATGGAATGCTAAACATTTTTTGTTCTCATATGCCATTTTTCTCCTGGAACCAACAAAAAATGGACAAATTACTGGCTTGGGAAAATTATCTGGGCACTGTGTTTTGGTTTAAGTTTCAAAAAATTTGTAGTTTTCAACCTGTATCCCACTGTGCCCTTTACCATAAGCAGTTAAGATAAATTTAATTCATTTTTTTAAATGTCAAATGGCAAGTCTTTTCCAAATCTATTATGTCTTTGTATTGTAAGATTTTTCTTCCCCCCACAAATATTGTTTAAGTGTTCTCAAGACTTTGAGGCAGGTTGGTTCTGTAGAGACAGGCCTTGTTCTTGATCTTAACAGGAAACCTTCAAGTTCCTCACCATTAAGTATGTTGTTAGCTGTAGGGTTTTTGTAGATGTTCTTTAGCAAACTAAAGCTTGCTGAGAGTTATCATAACATAGGTGTTAGATTTTGTCAAATGCTTTTTCTGCATCTATTGATATGAACATGTGATTTTTCTTCATTAGCCTGTTAATGTGATTGATCACAATAATTGATTGTTGAATATTTAACCGGCCTTGCATACTTGGGATAAGTCCCACTTGGTCAAGGCTTGTACTTCCTCTTATACATTGTTGGATTTAATCTGCTGGTATTTTGTTGAAGATTTTTGCATCTATGTTCATGAGAAATATTGGTTTGGTTTTCTTATAATGTCTTTATCTGATTTTGGTATTATAGTAAGGATGGGCTCATGAAGAAGTTAGGAAGTATTCCTTTGCTTCTATTTTCTGGAAGAGATTATAGAGAATTGGTATAATTTCTTCCTTAAATGTTTGGTATTACTCACCAGCAAACCCATCTAAGCATAGTGTTTTCCACTTCAGGTTATTAACCATTGTTTCTTCATTTCTGTTTTTAATTTTCTTATTTATTTCCATCTCCCTGCTTACATTTTCTAGCTGCAAGATTAAAAGATTGAAAAAGGTAGAGAAAGGCTTGTTTTTTTGTTTAGTTTTCTATTATGTGTGGTATATATATGGGATCTTCAATTACAGGGACCTGTATCCCTAACACCTCGCATATTATGTGGTACCTAATAGGTTATGACAGTGATTTACTTTAACAATTATTCAGGAAATCTGCTTACCTTTTCCTTGTGTACACAGAGCTAAATTATTATTCAGGCTGTCTAACAGCCAGGTGTTGTCAAGTAACTGAGTTCTGACCACCTGAATGTGGATAGAAGTGATGTAGGCACAGGCCTGGCTCATAAAAGCCTCCCACATGACAGCCTTAGTCTTTCTCCATCACCAAGCAGGATAAAAATGTGCAGAGGACTCCAAGGTCCAAGGAGAGGTTAAGGACAAAAACTAGGAGATTGAATCTATGAGTTATTGCCTAGAGAAACAACTGCTGATAAGTGACATCCATTAGGATTTTCCACGATTGAGAAATAAACTACTGTTAAACTTACTGAGATTTGGAGGGTTATCTGTCTCAGCAGGAAGTATTATTTTAAACAATTCATATACTAGACATAAGCTGACCTTAATTCAACTTTGTTATTTCAGAAACGTTAAAATTGTAATCAACCAAAGTCTTCTGACTTTACTTCTCCCCTTTTGAGAAGGAAAAAAGAAAAACCATTAATTACGACAATCAATAGAACAACAAAGTTTTCCGGATTTAAAGTCATACACATTAAGCAGCTGTACAGTACGCTTCTGACTGGCTTCCTAAAGAGTTACAGCAGGTAAACATTCTTAATATACCCTCAGAGTTAAGTGTAAACAAATCTCCAAGTCACGTAGATATTATCTCACTGAAAATTAGGCACAGTATAGTTCATAAGTCCAGTTGGCAAGAAACTAATAATCATGATTGGCTCAAGTTATTTATGTATGTTAGTTTAATATTCTGAATTTACTCATTAACTCAGACATTCTTTGAATGCCCACTATGTGTTATACACCATACCAGTCACTTGGGCATGCCCACATTGAAGGAGCTCAGTTTCATTGGAATCACAGATATAAATGACCTATTAAAATATCATATGATTAACTGGATTATGTAAAAAGTGCTGTGGGACACTGTAAAAAATCATTTAGAACTATGTGAGAAAATCAGGCAAGGTTTAAGAGAGGAGTTACCAGTTACAGATAACAATGTATTTTTTTCCCACTGACCTAAGCCTTTCAAGCAAAATCAGAAAACTGTAATTTTCACTAAAATAAATCATCAATGGAATGACCTAGTTTAAGACCCTTTTGGAAGACAGAAAGAGTCCTAGAAATCTCTACTACATCAAAACAAATCTGAGGGATAGACAAACATACCAATATAACTGAATAAAGAGCCCAAAAAGTAACCCCTTCAAACATGGCATCTTTATATATGACAGAGCAGCATTACAAATCAATGGCAAAGAGTGCATATTTCAATAATTGATACTAGGAACAATTACTACCCGTATGGAGAAAGATTAAAATTAGATTCCTATCTCAGATGTAGGAAAGAAGTCCAAGTTTTATGAGGCCAAAAACTTATAATTTGGGGATTCCTAAGGAAATTCCAAAATAAATTACTTTTGAAAATTTTATAAAACCACAACCCATGTGAACATTACTTGGGCTTCTCCCAGAGCCTTGGAAAGAGCTTATACAAGTGATGGTAGAGTAAATCTACCTCTGTTCACAAAAAACACAAATATAAACTCAAAATGGATTAAAAATTCAATATGTTTTTTTAATTTTTAGAGAAATTATAGGACAAAAATTGTTATGCCTCAGAGAGGAAGGATTTCTTAAGTAAGGTAAGGCACAAAGATATAAAAAGGACAAACTTTCAAGGAAAAGCTTAGTAAGTTTATACATTAAAATTAAAAAAGCTTGTTCATCAAAGAACATGTCAAAATACAAGCCACAAGCTGGATAAAGATGATGAAATGTTCATTATTCAACAGAGAAAAAGAACTCATTTTATAATAAACTACAAATTAATGAACAAATCCAATAGAAAACTGATCAATTCATAGAAGAGGAAACCCAAAAGTATAATAATCACAAAAAACATGTTCAGCTTCACTAATCGGGAATTCAATTTAAAACAATAATGACCTATTCCATACCTATCAGATTGACAGTATTTTTAATGTATAATGTTAATGAGTGGTATGATAGGAACCTAGTACACTGTTACTAAGAACAACACAGTGGAGAGGAATTAAGCAATATCTAGCAGAGTTGAAGCTGCATATGCCCTATGACCCAACAATTCTACTTGTAAGTATTATAGAAACTTGCGGGCCAGGCACAGTGGCTCACACCTGTAATCGCAGCACTTTGGGAGGCCCAGGCAGGCGGATCACCTGAAGTCAGAAGTTCGAGACCAGCCTGGCCAACATACAGTGAAACTCCATGTCTACTAAAATATATATATAAATTAGCCAGGTGTGGTGGTGCACGCCTGTAGTCCAGCTACTTGGGAAGCTGAGGCAGGAGAATTGCTTGAACCCAGGAGGCGGAGGTTGCAGTGAGTGGAGATCACATCAGTGCACTCCAACCTGGGTGACAGAGCAAGACTCTGTCTCAAAAAAAAAAAAAAAAAAGAAACTTGCCTATGCGCGCAAGGAGATATGTTTAACACTATTTTGCAGCCTTGTTTGTACCAATTGGGTATTCTTTATCCAAAATGCTTGGGACCAGAAGTGTTTCAGATTTCAAATATTTTCAGATTTTGGAATATTTGCATTATACTTACCACTTTAGCATCCCTAATCCAAAAATCTAAAATCCTCCAAAGAACA